AAGGAAACTTGCAGAAGCAGTTCAAATCTGGAGACACAAGCCCTCAATCAACAGAGACCAGGGATATCTCATCCCTTCTGCATACAATGATCTGATAAAAACAACAGATTAGAGCACCTCAGCCATCATTGTTAATTAATCTCATCAGCATGTATATTTTGTTTTTACCTCCACCACCATTGGCTTCCTATTGTCACTACATTATTGCCACCGTGCCTTGTTGTTATTGTTAATCCCCCTGATTCAGTCCTGCATGTTATTATTACTTAATCCCTGTTCATGTATATAAGTCTGTTCTGTGCTGTAGTACTTCACTCTTGCTTGACAACGGTATAAGAATCCATACCGAAACGTCGCATCATATATAATAAAGAAGTTGTTATCCATAAACTTTCTTAATTTCTTATTAGTCACCAACTTCTAAATGCCAATCAAACAGATCATATGTGAGGTGTAGGTTGAAGTGAGGTGCTTTTGAGAGCCCGGGCTAAGCCAGACCGAACGCTTGTGATATAGCAACTCTGTTGAGAATAAAGAAAAGCGGGCTTCACTTTGAGCAACGTGTTTGCTTCAAATACTACGTTTTGGAACTTTATACAGTGACATGTAGGTAGATATAATGCTAATCTATGAATCTGGACACATTTCATAATACATGTGTGAGGTGTAAGTTGCTTTTGACAGCCCGGGCCAAGTGGGGCCAACAGAGACTTAACACTTTTCATTGAGGATATGTTGAAAATGGAGAGTGAATGAGTTTAGTTTTACGCCGCACTCAGCAATACTCCAGCTATATGGCGTCGGTCTGTAAATAATCGAGTCTGAACCAGACAATCCAATGATCAACAGCAGGAACATCGATCTGCGCATTTGGGAACCGATGACATATGTCAACCAAGTCAGCGAGAATGACCACTCGATTCCGTTAGTCGCCTCTTACGACAAGCATAGTCGCCTTTTGTGGCAAGCATGGGTTGCTGGAGATCTATTCTACCCCGGATCTTCATAGGTTCACACTGCTACGAACACCTTGTGTCAGCACTGTCTTCCACAGAACCATAATTTCCATCACTGTTTCGCGATTTACGAACTGTGAGATGTGTTTTTGAGACAAATTATTCTGAAGCAATCACGTTTTGTAGTTACGTTTGTTGTCGCTGCCGACGTTGACAGCCTAATTCGTTACCCCTGGAGCACTGCAGATAACATGGTGGCGATTTTGTCAACTAGTCAAGTTTACATAATCGGCTGATTATTTATTTGTATTTATCAGCTTATGCTGTTTGCCGTCTTTGATTTAACTGCCCGTAAAGCCTGCATGTGTCAACCGATAAGCATTTGTTACTGTGTTAGCAAGGCCCCTGCAATTTCGTTATCAGAAAGATTTACCTGGAGAAGTTAGATTAGAAGCTGTACCGTATCAAGGGGCATGTATATCTGTCCACGACTGAATAACCACCCGGACACTCATTCATAGCGCGGCGATACGTGGCTCTGGAGGTCAAGTGACGTTTGTGTTTTTGTCATCTGTATTTTAGCAACATTTCCTGGGAATATTTTCAAACACCGATTCCTAAAGGTCACTATGTAGAAGAACGCTGCATGCTCCACCAGCCGTTCACGGAGACAAAGTCATAAGGTACAAGCAAACAGAGGGCCAGGTTGAAATGGTACTCAAATAACTATTTGCGTGGAAAACACTTGATAATCGATGTCCGTTTCCGCCTTTCAGTATGGCGCTTTGTGAAAAAAGTATATGTTTTCTTAGTCATAGGATACCATAACATAGGATACCATTCCAAACGAATGGCCATGTGCAATGGAATTATATCATATAGTATATGACCACTTAAAATGTATAATGGTTCTTGGAGAAGTTAAAAACATTTCAATCTATGACAAACATGAACAAATAAATATATACATTAAGATTGAGCATAAAGGGGAACCTTTCACACCATAACAACTACCGTAATCAAATCTAAAGCTCACAGACAGCAGAGACATATCCACTCTTGCATTCACCTTTCACACACGTGTAGACATAAGGGAGATAACACAAGGTTTCTTCCGTCTCACACCCATCCCTTTCACCTCACACAGTACTGACCACACCCTTCCACCCGCTAGACCACCTTTATCGCTCACTTCAAAGATACATACACGCACACACGCACACAGGTTCCCTCATCCCTTTACACTCAAAAGCAGATTAACAAGAAAGTTAGCATACCTCACCCCACCCAGCTCCCCTCACATGCACACAATGTCTCATTCACACACAGTATATAGAACGTAACAACCCACACACGAACAGCTTAACAGTCACACAACCACTAAATACAGTTTAACTAGGTCACACAACAACATGCCCCAATCACACAACAAACATACACGTGCACACAACAAACTAGCTCATACAACCAACATACACGCAATAAACTAGATCATACAACCAACATACGCACAATAAACTAGATCATACAACCAACATGCACACAATAAACTAGATCATACAACCAACATGCACACAATAAACTAAGGCACACAATATATTCACACATGCAAATCTCACTGTTCAAACATTAAAAAATAACGCGATTAAAAACCGCGCGAAATCGGAGTTCAAACGATTTACTAATTTTCCCCCGACTTTTCCGGGGAAAACTGGTTTCAACAGCTGGGCTGCGCTCATAGCACGTGCGCAGTGAAATGGGTTCGCGCAACTTGGAAGCGGGCTGTCCGGTGAATACTCGCTGAAGGCTTTGGTGTGAGCTATTTTCCTAATGTTTTGTTGATATCTCACAGGCGCGAGCTTTTTATATGTTATGACAGTAAATAAACTGTTTATATAATTTCATTTGTCTATTTCACCACACGTTCTTCTTACAGAGTCACTTTCTCAATTTGATACTTAAAAGCAATGTCGTTATTTAGCGTTGACACAATTTCTAACTGTGATATAGATATGTCGTTGTCACAGACAAAACTCAATGTCTTGTTTTATTGACACCTGTGTGTCTGCCTGCCTGTCTGCTAATGACAATATTCAATACACAACTGCGATCACTGACCACATGCAATTTGAACTTAACATCAATCAGGCTATACACCATAAACAAAACGCATTGATTTATGGCCCGAGTTCGGTCTCTGTCACATTATGTAATTACACAGACAGGCAGGTGTGATACTTGAATACATGACATGTTATGATGTCTGTTGATTGCAAAATGTTATACACAAAAAATGAGCATGTATTTACAAAACCTAACATCTCTATATATACACACACAATGAGCCGTGAGGGCATCTGCAAATGAACCAGCCGTTACACTTGAGTGAACACCCACCCGCTCTGACAAGGTTCGGTATCCCGGCTGCTTCGTTTCTTGGGAAGTAAACCCAAGTACACAATATTGCACTTCTGATTTGCGATTGTACGCTTATAATTTTGTTTATATGTTTTTTCATAACCCGCAATGTATATTATCTGTCATGAATAAGTGATAATTGTGTTTTAATTATGTTTGATTTTTTGGTTGCATGTGACCTTTAATATTCTTCTCAAGTGATGAGAGGTCTGCAAAGGTATCTTGTAGACAGGTGCTCTCTAGCGTGGGATATCTTGTAGACAGGTGCCTGATTATCTAGTACAGGGAGCCTTTGTTTCACCAGGTTAAGGAAACCTGTAGCTGACATTTCTTCTGCCTGACTATCTAGTACAGGGAGCCTTTGTTTCACCAGGTTAAGGAAACCTGTAGCTGACATTTCTTCTGTCCGATTATCTAGTACATGGAGCCTTTGTTTCACCAGGTTAAGCAAAAATGTAGCTGAAATTTCTTCTGTCTGATTATCTAGTACATGGAGCCTTTGTTTCACCAGGTTAACGAAACCTGTAGCTGTCATTTCTTCTGTCTGATTATCTAGTACATGGAGCCTCTGTTTCACCAGGTTAACGAAACCTGTAGCTGACATTTCTTCTGTCTGATTATCTAGTACATGGAGCCTTTGTTTCACCAGGTTAAGGAAACCTGTAGCTGACATTTCTTCTGCCTGACTATCTAGTACAGGGAGCCTTTGTTTCACCAGGTTAAGGAAACCTGTAGCTGACATTTCTTCTGTCTGATTATCTAGTAAATAGAGCCTTTGTTTCACCAGGTTAAGGAAAACTGTAGCTGAAATTTCTTCTGCCTGATTATCTAGTACATGGAGCCTTTGTTTCACCAGGTTAAGGAAACCTGTAGCTGTCATTTCTTCTGTCTGATTATCTAGTACATGGAGCCTCTGTTTCACCAGGTTAACGAAACCTGTAGCTGTCATTTCTTCTGTCTGATTATCTAGTACATGGAGCCTCTGTTTCACCAGGTTAACGAAACCTGTAGCTGACATTTCTTCTGTCTGATTATCTAGTACATGGAGCCTCTGTTTCACCAGGTTAAGGAAACCTGTAGCTGACATCTCTTCTGTCTGATTATCTAGTCCATGGAGCCTTTGTTTCACCAGGTTAACGAAACCTGTAGCTGACATTTCTTCTCCCTGATTATTGTAAATACCAAGTTTTCTACTAAGGGAGACAACCCTTGACAACCAGGAACATTTCATCTGGCGTATAAGAAAACAATGAGATTTAGAAGGAAAGGTGGCTGAGTGGTTATGCCGATGACTTTCAGTGCTGGAGATTAGATGCTTGACTCTTAGAGTGTGGATTCGAATCTGTACTTTACTGAGAAAGTGTAATCCCAAATATAACATATGTTACGTTTCACCAATTTATACATGGCATTGTGTATTCATATTAATGAGATTTACTCGGACATACTACACGTATACAGGCTTACAGAAATGTCGATCAAAGCGACTGTATCAGATAAGCTGTGTCTTGATAACCAATGAGTGTGTTGCTTAGTTAACCAGGTGCACTACGCCTCACGCCGCTACAGCCTGTGTATGTCCATGGTCTCCTCAGAGAGAGAGCACCTGTTCTGAGGTCCAGGAATATGTCTTCTCCTGTCCTGCTGATGGTTCCCCTGATTCTCCAGCTCTCCCCGACCAGAAGCACCATCCTCACAATCCACAACAACAAATATGACAACTTCGTTGTTGCCATTCACGACAGCGTCCCAGAGAACCACACCATGATATCCGAGATGAAGGTGAGCAAGGTTTACAATGCAGAAACAAGTATATATTGTATTGTTTCCATGTCATAAGGGTGACGTGCTACTGGAATGTCTGTCGGGCTAGTGAGCTGATAGTCTTTCTGTATCTATAGAATTATACACAATATGAAAACATGTTTAACGAGGGAGCCATAGCCAAAATGTACTCCCCAAAAAGGAAAACGCACCGGAGCGCACGACTCTGAGAACTAGTCTAGTTCAGTGATAAAGTTCGATTTCGTCTCCAACGTCGAGATGGAGCACAGCGTATTTGTCAACGTCAAAATGAACGCTTTATGCCGCACTGCGTTCGCGAGGTCGACAGATTCGGTGTCGTTAGAGGCACCATGATCTACACACGGGGTTCTGACTTCATGGTGATTAACTCAGCAAACTCTTCCATGTCACCTTCTGATTATCAAGCGACAGAGGTAGATGTTTACACATGACACCCCACACAGCATGTCACCTTCTGATTATCAGGCGACAGAGGTAGATGTTTACACATGACACCCCACACAGCATGTCACCTTCTGATTATCAAGCAACAGAGGGTGATGTTTAAACATGACACCATACACAGCATGTCACCTTCAGGTTATCAAGCGACAGAGGGAGATGTTTACACATGACACCACACACAGCATGTCACCTTCTGATTATCAAGCGACAGAGGGGGATGTTTAAACATGACGGCACACACAGGATGTCACCTTCTGATTATCAAGCGATAGAGGGGGATGTTTAAACATGACACCACACACAGCATGTCACCTTCTGATTATCAATCGATAGAGGGAGATGTTTACACATGACACCCACACAGCATGTCACCTTCTGATTATCAAGCGACAGAGGTAGATGTTTACACATGACACCCCACACAGCATGTCACCATCTGATTATCAAGCGATAGAGGGAAATGTTTACACATGACACCACACACAGCATGTCACCTTCTGATTATCAAGCGACAGAGGGAGATGTTTACACATGACACCACACACAGCATGTCACCTTCTGATTATCAAGCGACAGAGGGAGATGTTTAAACATGACACCACACACAGCATGTCACCTTCTGATTATCAAGCGACAGAGGTAGATGTTTACACATGACACCCCACACAGCATGTCACCTTCTGATTATCAAGCGACAGAGGTAGATGTTTACACATGACACCCCACACAGGATGTCACCTTCTGATTATCAAGCGACAGAGGTAGCTGTTTACACATAACACCCCACACAGCATGTCACCTTCTGATTATCAAGCGACAGAGGTAGACGTTTACACATGACACCTCACGCAGCATGTCACCTTCTGATTATCAAGCGACAGAGGGAGATGTTTACACATGACACCACACACAGCATGTCACCTTCTGATTATCAAGCGACAGAGGTAGATGTTTACATGACACCCACACAGCATGTCACCTTCTGATTATCAAGCGACAGAGGTAGATGTTTACACATGACACCCACACAGCATGTCACCTTCTGATTATCAAGCGACAGAGGTAGATGTTTACACATGACACCCACACAGCATGTCACCTTCTGATTATCAAGCGACAGAGGGAGATGTTTACACATGACACCCCACACAGCATGTCACCTTCTGATTATCAAGCGACAGAGGTAGATGTTTACACATGACACACCACACAGCATGTCACCTTCTGATTATCAAGCGACAGAGGTAGATGTTTACCCATGACACCCACACAGCATGTCACCTGATTATCAAGCGACAGAGGTAGATGTTTACACATGACACCACACAGCATGTCACCTTCTGATTATCAAGCGACAGAGATAGATGTTTACACATAACACCCACACAGCATGTCACCTTCTGATTATCAAGCGACAGGGGAGATGTTTACACATGACACCACACACAGCATGTCACCTTCTGATTATCAAGCGACAGAGGTAGATGTTTACATGACACCCCACACAGCATGTCACCTTCTGATTATCAAGCGACAGAGGTAGATGTTTACATGACACCCCACACAGCATGTCACCTTCTGATTATCAAGCGACAGAGGTAGATGTTTACCCATGACACCCCACACAGCATGTCACCTGATTATCAAGCGACAGAGGTAGATGTTTACACATGACACCACACACAGCATGTCACCTTCTGATTATCAAGCGACAGAGATAGATGTTTACACATAACACCCGACACAGCATGTCACCTTCTGATTATCAAGCGACAGAGGGAGATGTTTACACATGACACCACACACAGCATGTCACCTTCTGATTATCAAGCGACAGAGGTAGATGTTTACACATGACACCCCACACAGCATGTCACCTTCTGATTATCAAGCGACAGAGGTAGATGTTTACACATGACACCCCACACAGCATGTCACCTTCTGATTATCAAGCGACAGAGGGAGATGTTTACACATGACACCCCACACAGCATGTCACCTTCTGATTATCAAGCGACAGAGGTAGATGTTTACACATGACACCCCACACAGCATGTCACCTTCTGATTATCAAGCGACAGAGGTAGATGTTTACACATGACACCCCACACAGCATGTCACCTTCTGATTATCAAGCGACAGAGGTAGATGTTTACCCATGACACCCCACACAGCATGTCACCTGATTATCAAGCGACAGAGGTAGATGTTTACACATGACACCCCACACAGCATGTCACCTTCTGATTATCAAGCGACAGAGATAGATGTTTACACATAACATACCACACAGCATGTCACCTTCTGATTATCAAGCGACAGAGGGAGATGTTTACACATGACACCCCACACAGCATGTAACCTTCTGATTATCAAGCAACAGAGGGAGATGTTTAAACATGACACCACACACAGCATGTCACCTTCTGATTATCAAGCAACAGAGGGAGATGTTTACACATAACGCCACACAGCATGTCACTTTCTGATTATCAAGCGATAGAGGTAGATGTTTACACATGACACCCCACACAGCATGTCACCTTCTGATTATCAAGCGACAGAGGGAGATGTTTAAACATGACACCACCCACAGCATGTCACCTTCTGATTATCAAGCGACAGAGGTAGATATTTACACATGACACCACCCACAGCATGTCACCTTCTGATTATCAAGCAACAGAGGGAGATGTTTACACATAACGCCACACAGCATGTCACCTTCTGATTATCAAGCGACAGAGGTAGATGTTTACACATGACACCCCACACAGCATGTCACCTTCTGATTATCAAGCGACAGAGGGAGATGTTTACACATAACACCACACAGCATGTCACCTTCTGATTATCAAGCGACAGAGGGAGATGTTTACACATGACACCCCACACAGCATGTCACCTTCTGATTATCAAGCGACAGAGGTAGATGTTTACACATGACACCCCACACAGCATGTTACCTTCTGATTATCAAGCAACAGAGGGAGATGTTTACACATAACGCCACACAGCATGTCACTTTCCGATTATCAAGCGATAGAGGGAGATGTTTACACATGACACCCCACACAGCATGTCACCTTCTGATTATCAAGCGACAGAGGGAGATGTTTAAACATGACACCACCCACAGCATGTCACCTTCTGATTATCAAGCGACAGAGGTAGATATTTACACATGACACCCCACACAGCATGTCACCTTCTGATTATCAAGCAACAGAGGGTGATGTTTAAACATGACACCATACACAGCATGTCACCTTCTGGTTATCAAGCGACAGAGGGAGATGTTTACACATGACACCACACACAGCATGTCACCTTCTGATTATCAAGCGACAGAGGGAGATGTTTAAACATGACGGCACACACAGGATGTCACCTTCTGATTATCAAGCGATAGAGGGGGATGTTTAAACATGAAACCACACACAGCATGTCACCTTCTGATTATCAATCGATAGAGGGAGATGTTTACACGTGACACCACACACAGCATGTCACCTTCTGATTATCAAGCGACAGAGGTAGATGTTTACACATGACACTACACACAGCATGTCACCATCTGATTATCAAGCGATAGAGGCAAATGTTTACACATGACACCACACACAGCATGTCACCTTCTGATTATCAAGCGACAGAGGGAGATGTTTAAACATGACACCCCACACAGCATGTCACCTTCTGATTATCAAGCGACAGAGGGAGATGTTTAAACATGACACCACACACAGCATGTCACCTTCTGATTATCAAGCGACAGAGGGAGATGTTTACACATGACACCCCACACAGCATGTCACCTTCTGATTATCAGGCGACAGAGGTAGATGTTTACACATGACACCCCACACAGCATGTCACCTTCTGATTATCAAGCGATAGAGGGAGATGTTTAAACATGACACCACACACAGCATGTCACCTTCTGATTATCAAGCAACAGAGGGAGATGTTTACACATAACGCCACACAGCATGTCACCTTCTGATTATCAAGCGATAGAGGGAGATGTTTACACATGACACCACACACAGCATGTCACCTTCTGATTATCAAGCGACAGAGGGAGATGTTTAAACATGACACCACCCACAGCATGTCACCTTCTGATTATCAAGCGACAGAGGTAGATATTTACACATGACACCACCCACAGCATGTCACCTTCTGATTATCAAGCAACAGAGGGAGATGTTTACACATAACGCCACACAGCATGTCACCTTCTGATTATCAAGCGACAGAGGTAGATGTTTACACATGACACCCCACACAGCATGTCACCTTCTGATTATCAAGCGACAGAGGGAGATGTTTACACATAACACCACACAGCATGTCACCTTCTGATTATCAAGCGACAGAGGTAGATATTTACACATGACACCCCACACAGCATGTCACCTTCTGATTATCAAGCGACAGAGGGTGATGTTTAAACATGACACCATACACAGCATGTCACCTTCTGATTATCAAGCGACAGAGGGAGATGTTTACACATGACACCACAC